AATGGGAAATTTTATTATCTGAGAATTATTTTGTGCATTAAATTGAATGAACATGGTCTGGATAGCCCACAGACATACCATAAACATTTCTAGAACCCATAATTGGTCTCTTTTAAAAAGCATTAAAAATCTAATTATCAATAACCCATATATATTACTAAAATCACACTTTATGGATGATTTTAGGGTTAAATTTCTCGTATATACATGAATAAATACAGTAATTTAAACCGTTTTGTTTAAATGTTAACAGTTCAAATCGTGCTCAACATAAAAAACCTSCCTCACTGTTTATCCTGGGAATAAAAGGTCAATAAATAGGAACTTGTAAAACCAGTAGCTGATCAGAAAGCCCACACCTTCCCAGCTGGACCAGAGAGCAGGTTTATACTGCCTGACCCTGTGCTCGCCGTGCAGCAGAGGTCAGAGGTCAGCGGTTCCTATGAGAGCACAGCGTTGGAACGGCGTATACCGATCAGGTTGTCTGCGCTGAGGGACCGCCTCATGGCCGCTCGACTCAGGTCTTTATATTTGTCTTCACACAGTCTAGAAATGGCCTGAAACACAATCAAACATGCAGAGTCGGGTCAGATTTGTGCTTTCCCTGCAGCTGTTTCAATTTCACATCTAACTGGACTTGCAYTCATTTAAAGCAGCTTCACCTCTAGTTTCTGGGCGCGCTGGTTGTTGAGAGGCTCCAGTGGGAAGTTGAGGTTGTTGTCATCAGCCAGCTGCCGCAGGTCGAAGTAATACTTGGCGTAGACGCTGGCTGGAACGTTGATGTTGAACTGGAGGAGCTCCAGAAACTCACGCTCCATCTCATTCCTGGAGGGAAGGAAACAYGCCTGAGGTTTAACCCACTGAACCYGTACTACTGAACAGAGTCACCCACCTGAGGGTTCCACATAGACTTAAATAAAGATCACTAGACTGAGCCCCGCCCATCCCGTCCACTGGTAACCTCTGTGACAYCATGGAGGAGCAGAAACAGACCAAACAGGACAACAGCTCACAGCCTCCATACAAACTAACAGATAAACAGCAGCTGAACTGGATCTGTTTCACACATTATCTGTCATGTTTTTACAATAAATTAATAATTATGTTAATTTCATTCACAGCAGATTTATACCAGAAAAATATATAATTTATAAATAACAATGATCTAAACCAGACCTGAAGTCAACCTGTAAC